CAAAACAGCATGGTACTTACATAAAAACAGACACACAAATGGAACAGAATAGAGAGCCAAGAAATAAACCCACATCTATATGGTCAATTACTATTTGACAAAGGAAAGAACATACAATGGGCTAAAGACAGTCTATTCAATAAATGATGCTGGGAAAATTGAACATATATGAGTAAGAATCATTGATTGGCTGCCTCCTGCATGCCTCTTCCCGGGGATCGAGCCCACAACCTGGGCATGTGTCCTGATTGGGAATTAAACCCTGACCTCTGGTTTATGGGTCGACATTCAACCACTGAACCACACTGGCTGGATTCTTCACAACTTCATAGTGTCAGTATCATCTGGGCTCTGTCCATTGTCTACTCTTCTTTCTCTATTCATTTTTCTTTCTCTCCTCCTAAAATTTATTCATCTCCCTATGTCTTTAGATATATGAACATGACACCACATTTAAATCTCTAGCTAGATAGTTCAGATAACTTGATCTCCAAACCCCTCCCCAACCCTGTTTATTTCCGTCTTGGCAAATGGCTTCACTACTTTCATGGCTGATCAAGTTAGAATCTAAAATTTATATTCAATTCCTCTTTCTCCCTCATTCTCTATAATCATTTGTTAGCAAGTCTTGTCAGTCTTATCTCTAAAATCTATCTTGAGTCTACCCATTTACCTTTATCCCTAGGAGTGCTACAGTAATGCATGCCTCTCTCACTTCCTGCATAAACTCTCCTTTCAGCCTCCCAACTGAGCTTCCTTTGCCCCCTTCCAGTAGTCATCCTGCTTCCAGCCAGTCTTCCTGAAGGAAAAAGGGATCATGTTAATTCCCATTTAAAACATTAGAATGGTTTCTCATTACATTAGCCACCAGGCTCTGCAAGCACATTTCCTGGAGTCAAACCCTGGTATCACCTCTTACTAGCTGTGGAACCTTGGGCAACTTGCTTAGTCCTCTGTGGCATAATATGTACTGGTAGGTGGTCAAGTTAAAGAAAATAATTCATGTAAAGCACTTACAACCATGCCTGGCACTTAGTAAATGTTCACTGTGCATGCAGTTGGACTTCTGTGTGCTTACGGTCTCAGGCTAAACACTTTAGAAGGCCTTTCTTAATGACTTTCTTCAAAGCTGGGTTCTCCTTTACTTTTTCTCTATCTCAACAACCTTTATACTATTTATTATCTCTAATTATCTTTTTTCTTTCATTTGTTGCTTGTCCTCTCCCCTAGACTAAGCTCCATAGAGAGGGACTATATTTAGCTTGTTCACCGTTTTAACTCCAGTACCTCAGACAGTTCTTGCCACCTAGCAGGAGTTTCTAATACAGGGATGGGCAAAGGTAGGTTTACAGCCGTGAGTACATGAAACAGAATGTATTCTTAAATTATTATTTATTAATTATTGTATTATTTATTTCTATTACAACTGTAAACCTACTTTTGCTCACCCCTGTATTTGTTGATAAAATAAATAACGAATCTCACGTTCTTAGCAAGACTTTTGGACATTTACTTTTTGGTTACTTTTTCATTCTGATTCAATTTGACTTTGAATAGAATAAAACATTTATTTATAATACTGTAATCTGTTCTGCCTATCATGATGGAAAATCTTATTTCCTCAAAGTTTCTTATATAAAGACTAAATTGGGGAAGAGAGTAAGAAGGTTGATAATGAAATTTCTTATACGATAATCTTTCTCATTTTAATACTGAACTTTCAGTCTGTAGAATATTTCTGACTCATAAAAGGAAATTTTGAAAGCATGATATTGCGCAGTATCAACGTAGTTTATACTCGTTGTTCACTTTGGATCCCGCCCAAAGAATATTTTCTGTTGAAATACCTGAAAGGCCTTAAAATAGTTTAATAGAATGAACACTAAGGATAGCACTATAGAGACATATTTTAATTAAAGTTAAATTATATGTGACAAGAGAAAAGTATTATTTTTATTAGGGTATTATTTTAACTATTTTTCTGCTTTTAATGTTTTTTCCAGGCAACTTAAAAGTAATTGGGAAAAGTATACCTAATAAAAAAAATAGAGGCTTTTCTTCCAGCTTACAGTCATATCAAATAGTACTTTACAATTTTCATTTGCTTCTAAAATACAGAACTTCTTTTTTTAAAAAAATCTTTATTGAAAGTATTATAGATGTTCCCCTTTTCCCCCATTGACTCCTTTTTAGTCTGCCCCCCCTTATATATAAAACTTTAAATGGAAGTCATATATATTTTTCACCTTGGTACTTTCAATATTTATGTTTTTGCAATTCAGTACACTGTTTTGGTTAGATCCTTCATATAAAAATGTTTTCTTTAGAACAAAAAATATTTTCAACAAAAGAAAGGGAACTTTTTTAGTGTATGCCTTATCATTTTGGATTAGTCACCTTAGACTTTATTTTGGTTCATTCGTTACATAACCTTGGTTATATAAGTGCAACTTTATTAATGCTCCAGTTTTTCTATGAGATAAAATGAAGAGGTTGAAAGTTTACAATATTTTGAATTCTTTAAAAGTGCTGATAGCAGGAATCATATTTTCAGTCAAAATTATTGATGAGTTGGTTTGATTAAGGGAATAAAAAGTTAGCTTTTCCTAACAGCTCCTGCCTCCGTAATACACATGGATGGCTTATCTTTGGTTAAATGATAAAAATATGATATTTTCATATAGTTTGGTATTCTTTTAAATACTGAATTAAGTTATTTTTAAAATGTTAACTCAAACTTCCAGGTGTATTTTCTGAGCAAGCTTTTTTTCTTTATTTTTATTGTTGACACTATTACAGATGTCCCTATCTTCCCTCCCCCGCCCCATCCCTTTGCATGCCTCCACCCAACCCAATCCCCCTTCCCTTTGGCCATCACAAGTTTGTTTGTTTTTCTTAACCAGAACTAATAATGAAAAAGTTCAGCATACAATGGACAATTCTCTTAACAAACCCTTCCTCTTCCATTTGTTATCCCCTCCCCTCTATTGCAGTAAGACTGTTTATCTAAATCAAGTCTGCACAGTATTATGCTTCACGTAAGGTTTTATTTTAGTGGAATTATTGACTTCACATATAGCAAGCATTTCACTGGTTAGTTTAAAAAATCATTAGTAAAACTAGAGGCAAAAAACCCCCTCATTATAACAGTATTTTATACACATATAAAAAGACCTTTAGACTTAAGAAAAAAATCTCTAAAACCAGATAGTTTGTGATTGTTTTTGGTATTCTTAAACAGTTCCTAATACAATGCTGACATTAGGAAGCAAGCAAGAATAGTTGTGATCTAATTCTTAAAATATACTTTTAAACATGGTGGGCTCAAGATGGAGAAATGGTAGACCTTACCTTATATAGGGAAATACTAGAAATAAAGGGTTATTCCCAGTATCAAAAACCAAAATTATTTTCTAAAGCATATGTCCTGTAGAATTTGTTGATCTAGAACCTTTGGAATCATAGTTCTTCCAAGAGTCAATAAAATATTCTGTCATTTAGCCATTGTGGTGGGATAAAATCTCATTTATGTAGATTTATCTAAATATCTTTACCTTTTTGTGGAATACCTCAATTGAATATGTAGAAATTCCTTCCATTTACTTTACTAATCTTTGGTGGGCTAAAAGTTTTGGTTTTCCTTCTTTTATATAAGTCAATAATAGCAATTCCCATATTTTCAAGGAAACACCAAACATCTATTCCAAGCTAGTCTTCCTACCATATTTGTTTGCAGACTTACATCTGTTAGAGGGTGAATAGTTGTCTCTTATTTTCCTTTTACTTCTTATTCATTTAAAATTCCTTACAAACCATGACAGAAGTTAAGTTCTCTATAATTATTTTTGTTTTACAATAAATAGAATATATTTAATAGAAAATATATAGAACTTAGAGTAAAAAGAATTGTGTTTTTTTTTTTCCTTGAGCAGTTTATCAACATGAGCTTGGGAAGTTATTTTAACCTCTTACTTTTCTTGATGGTGAATTTGAAACTAATGACAATTCCTTTTGCATTTACTTCATGGGCATTTTTTTTGCAAGTATCAAATGATGTGTTTGTAAAAGTATTTGTTAAAACGTGAACTATTAAAAATTGATGGTGAAATTATGAACATACTAAAATCGTTTTCAGCTTTTAAAAACTCATATACAGGAAAAAAGCAGGACACATATCTTTTACTAAATGGGTGGCTGTTATATCTTAGTGTTCATTGTCTATGTGTAATATAAATAGGTATAACAATTTAAGGATCCCTGGTTACCGAGCATAAATTAGTTTTTGCATAGTATTTTCTCAGTTATCTTACATTATTTTGTGGAAAAATACCTATAAGGCCCATATTACAGTTTTAAAAAAATATTTATTTTACAATAAAATTATACTTTAAAAATGAACATTAGTCAAAACAGAAGGATTTATAAGAATTAGCAAGAATATTAATATTCACATTTTATCAAATTTTGTTTTTCATATACAGTCACTTTGGTAGCCCATCTGCCCTATTAGTATTCCAGTGTTAAAGGTTAGCATAAATTACTAATGATCACACCTTCCTATTTCTTAATTTAGGTAATAACCTTTGGAATTACAGAAAAACATAATGTATGTTTGTGTTTGTCCCATGTATAGAACATAGTCTACCTAGTTTTGAAAAAAGACTAGTATAAATGATTGTGAATGTGCCACTTTTCAGATTACTAGTACCTTTATATTGCTTCACTACTGGGAAAAATGCTAGGCAGTCTAGGCACATTTAAAGAGTCTCTTTGGGGTTTCTTTTTAAGAGAAGTGGAAACACGTAGAATGATTTTTGTTGTTATGGTGATGGGTCCCCCCCCACCCCCCAATATCTGTAAGAGTTGGGTGACCCAATTATGTTTTTATTTTGACAAACTAAATACAATTTAGTTCTTTCTAGTTTACCTTGGGCTCTGATTTCTCTAGATGAAACTTGCCTGTTTTTAATATTTATGTATTCACCCATTTCATTTTTCAGAAGATTTTATGAAGATGGAGCAATTGTCTTGGGTGAGGAAGCAAATATGCTTGCTGGCATGCTGCTTGGGCTCAATGCTATTGATTTCAGGTACTTAATCCTCCCTAAATGTATTCAGTTTTAAATTATGCTATCTTATATGGTTTCTACTTATGATTTTTTCCTTTCAATTTTCTAAGAAAAGCACATAGTTCGATATTGATATGTGATTCATGTTGTTCCCTTTTAAATGACAACCTTTTTCCAAATCGGTTTGCTGTCAGGGAAAAGATTGTCTCAAGTTCTAGGAATTAACTTACAGGCTTGCTGTCCAGTTTGGGTAAAAAGAAAGCTTAGACTACATTCCCCAAGCAGAAAAATCATGGACTCCGGTACAACTGAAGGAAGGTTTTGGATTTTATCTCTTATTATTTTTCAACTACTGCTTTAAAATGAAAAGAAAGACACTAAAAGTAGATTCAAAGCTAGAAAGATTTTTATTATTTCATGTATTGAGATAAAGAAAATCCAGACAGGATATCTTGGATGTCTTATGTTTCTTGTGTTATGTATCTAGAATATAAAACATATTGTTAATATTTACTTTGATTATCAACAAGATGAATTGATTTCAGACTAAGATTACAAGCACTAAAAAGGGACATTGTAATTTCTTTTTAGATTTATGAAAGCATCCTTTTGCATTTCTTTAACTCATCTAAGATTTTACATTATACTGAAAGTAAAAGGTTCATCTATAACAAGAACTCAAACATAAGAATGAAGGAAATATTATATTTTTATTTAAATATATCACTTAAAATCCAAGAATATTATTAAAATAAATTAAAATTAAAATCTACTTTTAGGTCTTTAATTTAAAAATAATGCTGCCCATTTTCACTGAGGTTACCTTTTTCTAGTAAATCACTTCCTTTTCAAAATATTTGTCATTTTAAAATTTTCTTTAATAAAGTAGTATTAGGTTAATTAGCTTAATTGTTTAGGATAAACATGATGGGTGGAATATGGAGGTTGTGTTATGATCCTCTAAGGGTGTCAGCTTTTTATAGGGCATGCTGCTGGCTCTGTCTAAATCCTTTACAATGTTATTTTTTCATTTAAAAAAACAACAACCTGGGAGAAGAATGATTTATTGGAACCCATTGATACTATGTAATCAGCTGAAAACAAATATCTTAAAGATACATTAGTAACGTTTCTGTAAATGAAGGGAAACCCATATAAAATGTTGCTAAATTAATTCTCTTTATTTAAATCTGGAAAAAATGCATGCCCTTGACATTAATATATTGGAACAAGTATTTCTACAAATTTCCCAAAGAAACCAGGAGGTAGGAGTTCATAGGTGAATTTTTTCTTTTGAAAAATTAATCTACATCTTTTAAATATTTCTTTATCTTGCTAGAAGATATACTTTTTCTTTTTGATAATAGTAATCTTTGTTTTCTTTTAAAAATTTAAATGTTTTATTTTATTTTTATGTAAAATTTTTTAGTTAAAATGTTTTCATTACAGTTTGTATTCAATATTATTTTATATTCATTTCAAGTGTATAGCATAGTGGTTAGATAATCATATACTTTACAAAGTGTTGCCCCTGATATTTCCAGTACCCAATTGGCACCATGCACAGTTATTACAATACTAGAGGTCTGGTGCACGTATTCATGCACCAGTGCGGTCCCTTGACCTGACTGGTGATTGGGGCTGATCTGGGTTTTCTCACCCAGTCCCGATTGGGGCCAGTCGGGGCCGTCCCCCGGGGTGGGGGGTGGGGGGTGACCGCAGGAGGTTGGCCGGCCACAGGAGGTTGGCTTGTGGTAGCACACCGACCACCAGGGGGCAGCTCCTGCATTGAGCGTCTGCCCCCTGGTGGTCAGTGCACATCATAGCCACCATCATTTGGTCGACCAGTGGTAACGGTCGCTTATATATATAGACTAGAGGCCCGGTGCACGAAATTCATGCACTTGCGGGGGGGGGGGCGTGCGTCCCTCAGCCTGGCCTGCACCCTCTCCAATCTGGGACCCTTCCTTCCTTCCTCCCTCCCTCCCTCACTCCCTCCCCTCTTTCTTTCTTCCTTCCTTTCTTTCTTTTCTTTCTTTCTTTCTTTCTTTCTTTCTTTCTTTCTTTCTTTCTTTCTTTTTCTTTCTTCTTTCTCTTAAAGTTGTTTTATTTCTTTCTTTGGCCTTGACTTACGAGTTTAATTCGTTCCGAGACCGAGCTTGTTAAGGAGCTCGTTAAGGAGCTCGTTAACTCAAATTACTCTATCAACTCAAAGCAAAAAAATCGCCCGAGAGACAGCTGGTATCTCAAAAAACTCGTTAGTCGGGACACTAGTAAGTCAAGGCCCCACTGTACTTTATTTAGTGGAGGGGGTTTCCATTTTCACTCCTCGATAGATTTTATGTATTTCTCACATGCTTCTTCACTCATTGGTTCATCTGGTTCTGCAGGGTTACTCAGTGTCATCTTGGTCAGCCAACCATCTTCATGACAAGATTTGCTAACAAATCCTGGATTTTCTGCAAGAGCTTCATTAATTTCAGTTACTTCTGATAGAGGAGAATAGAGTTTGCTATCAGCTTTCACACTTTCCAAAGCACCAAAGTCATCTTGTTTGTTCAGTTTTGTCCCAATTTCAGGCAGACTATAATAAACGACATCTCCCAAAGCTTCCTATATGAAACTGCTGATTTCCATTGTTTCAATATAATTTTCTGTTGTTACCCATTCATGTTTCTCTGTGAATTTACTCACTGAGAGCAGATGAGGCCAGTGTGTACCTAGACAGCCCCGTTCTCAGGCTCCAGGCAAATGATGGGCAGGCTGCAGGCCTGGGCCACACATTCCCTGCTGCTTGGGGCATTATGTTCAAAGGCAAAAACCCTCGTTTTCTAATTATCCAGATCTTTTTAGGAATACTTAGTGTCACCTGAGAACTTGTATGAACAAATCTTCATTTGAAAATTCTCTAGTTACATCATGAAAGGTTTATGAAATGATGTTTGAAAAGATTTCTCAGTAAATAGGGTATCCCCCCAAAATGTATATACACTTTGAATACTTATAAAGGCAGTATTTATTAAAATACATTTCATTTCCAAAATGTAATAGACTCAGCTGACAAAATGTATATCCAGTTTTTGGGACACCCTGTATTTTACTTTTGTGTGATATGTTTATGTAACAGTATTAACTTGTACAGTTCTTTGTCATTTAGATTGAAGGTAAAACATCTTTATTGAGACATTTATTTGTAACAAGTAACATTTAAATTACAAACAAAAAATGTTACCTACAATTTGATGAAATAAATGTCTCTAACAGATTGTTTATAACACGTAACTTTGATTTAAAATTTTATATATGAATATGGAATATTTATTGTCTGTTGTCTTAGCTTCTGCCTAAAGGGAGAGGGACTGGATGGATGCTTTCCTGCTGTAATAGACTACACACCATATTTGAAGTTTACCCAAAGGTATTTGACATTTAGAAATATGTTCTTGAAATCCAAATTTATTATTAAATGTCTTGTTGCACAATATATTCATCTGATTAAAATTATTTTTTATAAAACATTTATTTCATATCAGAAATCATTCATAAATATAAACTCCAGTTGCATTTTTAGTACTTATATAAGTATGCACTTGTTATATAATTGTAATCCCAGCATATATGTAGTTTTTAACAAGTACATGCATTTTTTGCTGTAGTTATTATAATAAATCTAGTTGCTCTGTAATCATCCATTGAGATTTTAAAACTGTAATTAATTATTTAGACTGCTTTTCATTTTATCTTCATTATAAAGAAAAGAATAATGAACATTTTTGTGCAAATCAGTTTTCTTTTTATTTCTGTTTTGAATTTACAGAGTTATTCAGGTAAATACAACAAAAAATTTATGACTCTTAAAGTCCACTTTTATAAAAGAGTTGTACCAATTACCAGTCTTGTGTGAGAGTTATGGAATTCCCATAATCTCATCAGCATTGAAAATTAATCAAATGAAATCCATAGATTTTTCTGATGGTCTGCCTTCACTTATTGATTTCCTGAATAGAATGATGATCTTTACCTACTTCTAAAATGTTATAATTAGGCCAGAGCTGTAAGGGAAAGAGAAAGAAAGTGAAAGTAATATAATGTATACACACACAATCACAATGTGTTATTTATGGAGTACCTAATGTAGGAAAGAAACATAGATGTTGAGAGTATAGAAACTTCATGAACTTCTGAAAAATAATACATTTCTTGTCCCCAAGATAATCATCTAGTGAGAGAAGTCACTATTATTTCAGAGCTAGGAGTGGGAAGATATATTGGATGCTTAGGGAGAAGGATGCATAGAGTATCATGGTACCAAGCTTTCTAACTTAAGTTAGTGGATTCCTTAGGAAAAGGGATAATTCTATACTAGAATCTAGTACATTAGAGCCTGAAAAGTACAGCAATAAGATGTTTTGAATAGACATAATATTATACTGTTTTGGGATATGTTGAGTTATAGTACCTTTTGTGAAGATAATGAATAGTTCAAAATAATACTAGTAAAGTGATAGTAGTGATATTTATTGAATATTTATTATATGTAAGGCATTATTCTAAGAACTTTACTTCTGTTAACTCATTAATCCCTAAAAGGGAGTGAGAAATGAGAAAACTGAGACATAAAAAGGTTACATAACTTGTCCACAGTCACACAGCGAGTTTGTGCAAAGGGGGCCACAAGTCTGAAATTAAAGAGCAAGATCACAGCTAGAGATAGGAGGTTGGCCATCAACATGAAGATGGAAAGGCTATTTTTGTGATTTAGGAAGTGACTTAAATTAAGATATAAAGTTAAATGTAAATACTAATCTGCCTCTCTTACATAAAAGCTGTAGTAATTATTACAAGGCTTTTTAAAAGATACAATTATGGAACCTTCTCAATTGGTGCCCTCAGAATGAATTTAATGATTTTACTCTGTGTCCTCAACTGTTTAACCACTTTTTTCCTGAATTTTTATGCAACTTTCTTTCTTCGATGCACAAATCCAAAAATGTACATATAGCTTTCTCTCCTTTATGTACTAAAGGCTTCCTACCAACTTGTTATATAACAGACACTGAAATGAAAAGGGAAATGCCACTTCAACCTAGTCACTAACCAGTTATTATTTCTGACCATAGTTTTTCATTTTAAAAATATTTAAACTATCCTAACTGACCCAATATTTTAAAAATTTAATTGCTTCCAACCAAATATACATGTATTCAACACATTTTTAAAAAACTCTATTAGGTTCCTAATTTTAAGAAACCTTCAGAGTCTGTTCCTCCTCAAATTACTGCATAAAATAATACATATTCAAATCAAAACAACAATGAGGTACCATCTTACACCTGTCAGAAAGGCTATCATCAACAAATCAACAAACGACAAGTGCTGGAGAGGATGCGGAGAAAAAGGAACCCTCGTGCACTGCTGGTGGGAATGCAGACTGGTGCAGCCACTGTGGAGAACAGTATGGAGTTTCCTCAAAAAGCTGGAAATGGAACTCCCATTTGACCCTGTGATCCCACTTCTAGGAATATATCCCAAGAAACCAGAAACACCAATCAGAAAGGATATATGCATCCCTATGTTCATAGCAGCACAATTTACCAGAGCTAAGATCTGGAATCAGCCTAAGTGCCCATCAGCAGATGAATGGATTAGAAAACTGTGGTACATCTACACGATGGAATACTATGCTGCTGTAAAAAAGAAGGAATTCTTACCATTTGCAACAGCATGGATGGAACTGGAGAGCATTATGCTAAGTGAAATAAGACAGTCAATGAAATAAAAATACCACATGATCTCACTCATTTATGGATAATAAAGACCATCATAAACTGATGAACAAAAATAGATACAGAGGCAGAGCAGCATCAAACAGACTGTCAAACTACAGCGGGAAGGCCGGGGAGTGTTGTGGGGAGGGCGGGGCAGTAAGAGATCAACCGAAGGATTTGTATGCATGCATATAAGCATAACCAATGGACACAAGACACTGGGGGTAGGGGAGGCTGGGGGGAAGGTCAAGGAGACATATGTACTACTCTTTGTAATACTTTAAGCAATTAAACAAAACTTAAAAAAATAATAATACATATTCATTACAGAAAAATTAAAAAATGTTAAAAAGGTATTTCAAGAAACTAAAGTCTTTATATTATAATTAATTATAAGGGTATATTTAGTGCTAAATATTTTAGAGTTTGCTCACCAGAAGCTTGAAAATACAGAAGTATTTCTTAAAAATCAAAGTGGAACACAGTATTAACTTTCTTTTTAAACGTTCAATCTTCCCAGCTCTGACAGTATCAGCAGTGATGAGGAGGAGCTGAGGACGCTGGGAAGCAGTGGCAGTGAGAGCAGCTCTCCTGAGAACGTGGGGCCTCCTTTCATCATGGACGAGAATACGTGGTTCAACAAGTGTAAGAGAGTTAAACAGAAGTATCAGCTCACCCTGGAACAGAAGGTATCAGTCAGTGTCAACAGCCATTTAATCCTGTTCTCTGTATTGCCTTTGGACTGTCTCTGCCAAAAGCTCTCTCAGCTGAATGAAAGGGTTTGCCCCTCGCTCCTTCCTTTCTGTTCCTGAATTATCCTCCTGTTAATTAAAAATCAAGCAATGTTTTAGGAAAGGCTTTTGTTTGTTAAACATTTTCTAATTTTATGTTGTAATATAAAAATCAGCCATTTATTTTTCTTTATGCAGTTTCATTTATATATTTGAGATTTTAGTTCCTATGACTAATTTCATAAAATATTACTGGGTTTGTGAAAAAGCAGTAATTGCCTAAATCCATATATGTCTCATTTGTCCTTTTTAAATCAGTTATTTTAGAAGCTCTTGTATATCAGACACTGCACTTGGCAAAATAGAGTATATAGCAGAAAGGAAAAGAAACTCCATTATCTTGAGTAGTTGCAACTTTTTTTATTGAATTATCTATTTTTTCCTTTCAAATGATCATTATTCATAAATAGTCTATATAGGAAAAGCCTGATGGAATTAACAATAGAAGTATTGGAACAATAAAAAATACACTGAGGAAAGTGCTTACAAAGTAAATTTACAAATATGAATAGATTTTACATAGACCAACAGCTACTGGTTAGAAAACATAAAGAAAAAGATTCCATTTATAATAGCTATAAAACTGTGCCTAATGTATATGGAAAAAACTTTCATACCCTATTAAAGAAGACTTCTCATACCAGCAAGATTTCATACTAAGATCACCTGAAAGCCTTTGCATTGTAAAAATACGAAAATGCTGAGCAGAATACAATTTTAAAATAGCTTCATGCAGAGCTGCTCTCTCAAAGAATAGGAGCTCACTAATGACCTGAACACAAAGACCATTCCCTTAACTTAGGTACATGTGTTGTTGTTTTGTTTGTTTTTAATATATTTTTAGTGATTTTAGAGAGGGAGGGAAGGAGAGAGATAGAAACATCGATGAGAGAGAAACATACACCGCTACTGGGGATCAAGTCCACAACCTGGGCATGTGCCCTGACTGGGAATTGAACTGATGACCTCTTGGTTCATGGGTCGATGCTCAACCACTGAGCCATGCCGGCTGGCCTAGGTGCATGTGTTTTAACACAGGGGAACAGTGGACCTAGGCCCACTATCATTGAAGATGGAAACTGAACCTGGTAGGCAGGAGTGAAGTGCAAAATGACAGATTAACCATAGAAATTGGCAAATAAATCTGGACTACATGAAACAAGAACTATATTAATGGCCAATATGGGGTGGCATTGGAGGGTTGGAATATGTTTAACAACTGACTTTCACAGAGGAAATAGAGAAGCCCTGGTATGTACCATTTGCTGATTCTATGGGGTAAATAATCCCATCATGGCCAAGTTGAAGCTACCAATGTGATATCCCTAAATGCAGAACTGGGAAAAGATGCACCATAGCACGCCACTGTATAGCATTCTCTCAGACAGATTCAACAGACAGAAATGACCTTAGGAGCACAGACAATAGAAGATATGATAAAATATTCAAAAATACTTAGGAAGTGATGAGTTTTGAGTGGTTATTTCCTTGTTTTTAATATAATTTACTTAGTTATGTCTATATAATGTTTAATAATTACCATGTTTTCAAAATTTCTGAAATTCAATAATCAGCCCTCGAGAGCTAACTGCAGCCCACCATTGGGAAGCAAAGTGGGACTAAAACTCTAACAATATTAGAAAAGATAAGAGAGAATGATTGAAGCTAAAGCCATTTGAGGTCTTTGTGTTACAGTGAAAAGGGTAGACACAGATTTTAATGTGCCTGCCTGTTTCCAAAGTTGTGATTAAAAGTAGAATATTTAACTTTCAAACTAATAGTGATAAGACGAATAAGGAAAATTTTATTATTACAATAGAAAGTAGCAAGTGAGAAAAAATAAGGATGTTATAAAGGATGGTATCACCAGAAGAAAAAAAGGTGGCACCACCAGATAAAGTGTAGAAATATATCTCAATCTAACCACCTGACTCAACATCACCATAAAAGTAAATGGCATAAACTTGTCATTTAAGACAAACTCTTTATTTTTTAATAATAAATTTTAGTTATATGTTGTCTGTAAGAGACATACATAAAATAAGACACAAAAATATTGAGACTAAGAGGATAAAGATATAGTAGGCAAACTTAACCACAGGAATTCTGTATTAATGTTATCCAACGTGGACATTAAGGCAAAAAGCATTAAGACTAAAAAAAGACATTGTCTTTGTAAAAAAAGAATTCACCAGGAATGTATAACAGCAATGAACTTACATAATGTAACAGTGTAGCCATGAAAAATGTGAAGCATAAATTAATAGATTGTCCAGGAGAAATTGACAAATCCATAATTAGAGTAGGAAATTTTAACGTCTATCAAAATAATTTACAGATTCAATGGACAAAATATTAGTAAGGATGTAGTGAGTTTGAACAGCACAATTAGTAAAGCTTGATCTAAACTTTGTTAAACGCTAACAATACACATTCTTTTCAAGCATATATGGGACAGCTATTCAATTTGTATGGAGCATATTATGTCACAAGGCAAATGCCCACAAATACCAAAGAAATGATATAAAAGTGATCACAGTGCAGTAAAGTTAGATTCAATACGATATGTTTTCCACCACCTGTAGACCACCAATGGGAATTTAAAAAATAAAACTTCTAAATTATGTGTCAAAAGAAATGAGTAAATAAGAATGAAAACAATGCATACTGACAAATTTAAGTTACAACTTTGTGCAATACTTGTAGAAGTACTTAACTTAGAAAAGAAAGTAGGAAAATTAAAGAGATAAGTATTTAAGAAGTAGACCAAAAAAATCAATTTCAAAGAAAAAAAATAAGCACAGATTTTAATTAAATAAACAGAGAAACAGAATTAACAAAACCTCCCTCTCTCCCTCCTCCCTTCCATTCTCTGAAAATCAATGGAAAAAATATTCTAGAGTGAGGATTAACACACACACACACACACACACACACACACACACACACACACACAAAGAATGAATATCAGGTGGGAATGTGATTAATATAAAAACAATAATATGACAGTTTGGCATTATCTAGTAAATGTAAAGGTAATGCATGGCCTATTCCCAGCAATTCTATTCCTAGACATATTTCCTATAAATTCTTAGATGTTTGTACCAGGTAACATATAACTGAGTGTTCACTGTATATTATTTATATTAAGAAAAAGCTAAAAACAATCCAAAAGGTCATTGATAGGAGAGTAAGTAAATAGACTGCAGTATTCATACAATGTCATACTATTCACTATTGAAAGCAAGACGTCATTGTAGATGAAAAAGCCAGTTTCAAAAGAATATAGACAAATCTCAACAAAACTATTTTAAGACAACATACATCCGTGGTAAAGCTAGAAAGAATAGTAAGGAGATAATAAACAAGGATCTCAGGATGTTGTTATTTGTGTAGTGGAAGCAGGGGGTATCATTAGGGAAAGGCATTATAGGGGCTTAAAAGTTTTCATAATCTTGATTGTGGGTACATAAGTTGCATTTAATTACTAATGTTTATAAATATTTGTATATAATTTATATATTAAGTGGTGTGACATATAAAATACTTCCTTTGTAAAAATTAATTTTAATGTTTGAAATTTTATTATGGAAAAACTATTTGAGAATTGTCATGGGAAAATCTGAAAAGGAAGCTTAATGAGGGGAGAATAGTGTTAACTTCTATTAACATCTATAATAATAAAAGCATAATATGCTAATTAGACCGGACAGCCGAACAACCTTCCAGATGTACTTCCGGACGAAGCCACAGTGGTGGGGGCCGAGGCAGAGGTGGTTAGGGGCAATGAGGCAGGCAGGCAGGCAAGCAGTTAGGGGCGCTGAGGCAGGCAGGCAGAGTGGTTAGGGGCAATGCGGCAGGCAGGCAAGTGGTTAGGGGCGATCAGGCAGGCAGGTGAGTGGTTAGGAGCCAGCGGTCCTGGATTATGAGAGGGATGTCCGACTGCCTATTTAGGCCCAATCCTGAAGGCCTAAACTGGAAGTCGGACATCCCTGAGGGGTCCCAGATTGTGAGAGAGTGCAGGCTGGGCTAAGGTCCCCTCCCCCCCCATGCACGATTTCTTGCACCAGGCCTCTAGTGTATCATAAAACTAAACTAGTTAAAAGACTTTGTTAATGACAAATGAATGGGATAACATAGTAGGATAGAAGAATACTTTAAGAAAAAAAGATTCTAATTAATATCCTGAGAGGAATTTGTAAGCACATTGTAGCTAAAAAGTAGGATGTCATGAGAAGGGCATCATCAGACAACATGATAGAGCTGTTGGAAATTAAAATTAAGATTTCCTGAATTAAAAAATCCAGTATAAGGGTTTGAAGGATAAATTCAATGAAGTCTTTCAGAAAACAGAGCAAAAGGACAAAGAAATTGTAAATGGGTAAAAAATAACTGACAGAAGATCAGCCCAAGAAGGCTTATATCTATTTGGTGTTTCCTAATAATAATAACTAGGAATTATGCATTGCATTCAGTGTAGCAGGTAATACTCTACCTAGACTGATTTGTTTAATCTTCCCAACTAGGAAGATTAAAGCTCTCACTTTTTCAGATGATGAAACTGTGACACAGAGAGATTAAGTAACTTGACCAGGATACATAGCTGCTAGCTAGTAGACCTGGACTATATAGGCACCTGCAGGCCTCGTCAAAACATTGTACTGCTTCCAACTAATGTGTTAAAGCTAAAATGGTAATATCTGGCCCTAACCGGTTTGGCTCAGTGGATAGAGCGTCAGCCTGTGGACTCAAGGGTCCCAGGTTCGATTCCAGTCAAGGGCATGTACCTTGGTTGTGGGCACATCCCCAGTGGGGAGTGTGCAGGAGGCAGCTGATCGATGTTTCTCTCTCATCGATGTTTCTGACTCTCTATCCCTCTCCCTTCCTCTCTGTAAAAAATCAATAAAATATATTAAAAAAATAAATAAAATGGTAATATCTGTTTTGAAAGAATAATCACATAGAGGCAGTTTCTTAATTGGTCAATCTGTGATTAGGTCTGTATTCTGAAACTAGGAGGCATACTGAGTATTTTATTTATTGTTGCAGAGCTTAGAAATGAAAATGTTTTAACTAAGTTTTACCTTAAATTACAAATGCATTTAAAAAAAATATATTTTATTGATTTCTTACAGAGAGGAAGGGAGAGAGACAGAGTCAGAAACATCGATGAGAGAGAAACATTGATCAGCTGCCTCCTGCACACCCCCCACTGGGGATGTGCCCACAACCAAGGTACATGCCCCTGACCAGAATCGAACCTGGGACCTTTCAGTCCGCAGGCCGACGCTCTATCCACTGAGCCAAACCAGTCAGGGCTACAAATGCATTTTAATGAACCTTAGAGAAGAGCTTTAAATAATGAACATATGTTAAATTTTTGTACTAAATTAAAAAATTATTTTTACTGTTCATCAGTGATACTATGAAAAAGTTTTACTACAATATAGATATGACTAACATTTAAGCTATTGAGCATTTGTCTTCAAAATATATTAGAATTTTATAGTTGGCTGTATCTTGCTGATCTGTATTTCCAGGCTTATCTTGAAGAACTCTTACGACTTCGAGAGAACCAGCTGTCTGAATCTGTCTCCCAGAATAAAATACTACTACAAAGGATTGAAGATTCTGATCTGGCCCATAAATTGGAAAAGGAACAATTAGAATATATAATTGTGGAGCTGCAAGATCAGTTGTAAGTGAGATCCTTTTGGGAAAAATTTTGGCAGTATATGAACATAACTAAGTGTTTTAACATGTTTTAACATAACACGTTTTAACATAAGATTCAAATTCCAAGAAATCAGATCGCCTGCTATTATGTTCCCTTTCACTTATTTTTTTTGAAAGTTTACTTTTGTTTTTCTTATTATAAAAGTATTCCATGCTCATTGTAGAAACATTACAAAATATAGGAAGAAAACAAAAATTACCTTCAGTTGTGCTACCCAGACTTAACTAATACAATTTGGTTGGATTCTTTCAAAAGCATATGTTTAATTTTAAAAGCATTTATTTAGTTATTGATTGATTGAGTGGTTGTAGAAATATGGAATATAAGACCAGTGCTGCTAAAAGAGCAGTGCCACTGCATAAACTTCTTGTTTCCAGAACATTACTAAGCACAGTTCAATATAGCTAACTTTTTTCTCTAGCCAGACTTCCTTCAATGGAGGAAGCTGTGTATTGATCTACGTTCTGGTACAAGCTCCTTAACTTGTCACTGTTCAAAGCACTTGTACTAATAATACCGTTTTGTCAAACTTGATTTTGTCAATTAATTGCTTATTGTGAAAATCTTCTCATATTAATATTTACTTAATCTTAAAGGATAATTTTTTAAATTTTCTTGAAATAATTTTAAGCTTTTGGAAAAGTTGCAAGGATAGTACAATTTCCATATGGCTTTTCCTAGATTCACCTGTTTTCTTTTCTTTTTTTTTAATAAAATATATTTTATTTCAGAGAGGAAAGAAGAGGTAGAGAGAGATTTTCTTTTCTTTTTTTAAAATATATTTTTATTTATTTCAGAGAGGAAAGAAGAGGTAGAGAGAGATAGAAACATTAATGATGAGAGAGAATCATTGAATTGCTGCCTCCTGCACGCCTCCTACTGGGGATCGAGCCTGCAACCGAAGCATGTGCCGGGACGGAATCAAACCCGGGACCCTTCAGTTCCCAGGCTGATGGACTGAGCCAAACCAGCTAGGGTTAGATTTACCAGTTTTCAATATTTTGCCACATTTGTCCTCATTCTCTCCTTCTCCCTATATATACAGACAGATACATTATTTTTTAAACCACCTGAGAGGTTGCATACATGTCTCTTTACCTCTTAATATTTCAATGTGTCTTTCCTAATAACAAAGATATTCTCTTTCATCACCATAGTTCGGCTTTCAATTTAAGACATTTAAATTGATACAATGCTTTTATATTATCTATAACTCATACTTCACTTTCATCAATTGTCCAAATAATGTCCCTTATTGCAACTTTTGTTTTTCTGGTAAGGATCCAATCCTGGATCATGTTTTGAATTTGGTTGTTAGTCTCTTCAATCACTTGAACTTAGAATAGTTTTTCAATGTTCTGTCTTACAAGAGATTGGTATTTCTGAAGAATACAGGCTAGTAATTTTTATAGAATGTCCCTGGATTTTAGTTTGTTTGTTCCCTATGATTAGAATGAGCTTATCCATTTGTGGCAGGATTACAACCTAAGTGGTGTGTCCTCAGGACATCACATCCAGAGATACATGAGGTCTGTTATTGGCCTTTTAGTAGTGCTATTAATTTTAATCATTAGGTTAAGATGTTTTTCTCTTCTGTATAGTTACTGTTGTTCCTTTTGTAATTAACTTGTAATTTGCAAGGAAACTAAGTAAATATAATAGATGATTTTTAAGTAAAAATGTTTTATTAAGGAACATAAAAATTTAGTGTTATCTAGGAATTTGTATGTTGATGAAAATAATTATGCTCATATATTGTTTCTTATATTTTTCTAATATTTGAAAGTTTCTTATATTTTTTCTAATTGTCTGGTGGAGTATGACTAATTTAGGGGCAGACTAACACCTTCTGTAGCCCCTTGCTTCTGTAAGCAGGGGGAAAAATATCAAGAGCCAAACAATAGAGATTTCTGGTTATTTCTTTGCAATGGAAAGATTAAGGTGATTTAATCTTCCTTTTACAAATAATCTTGGTAGTTTGTCTAAATTGTTTTAACATAAGAATAATTATGAAATCAGTTTTTATTTAACCAGCAAGATATTTTCCTTTTTTCCATGTTTGTTGAATTTATTGGGGTGACACTGGTTAACAAAATTCCACAGATTTCAGGTACACAATTCCATAATACATCATCTGTACATCACCATTTATCTCCCTGTTTCTTCCTCCATCTTCTCTCTCCCCTTCCACCCACCCTGGCAATCACCCATCCATGTCCATGAGTATTTTCTCTCTTTTTTTCCTCAATATCTCTAGGACCCCCACCCAACGCCCAACCCCCTCCCCCCTGCTCTTTCAACAGCTGTCAACCTGCTCTCTCTCTATGAATCTATCTCTATTTTGCTTGTTAGTTCATTTTGTTCATTAGATTCCACACATGAGTGAAATCACTTGGTGCTTGTCTTTCCCTGAATGGCTTATTTCATCTATCATAATACTCTCCAGGTCCATCCATGCTGTCACAAAGGGTAAGATTTCCTTCTTTTTTTACAGCGAGGGCAGATCTTATATTCATTTATTAAAGTATGTTTTTCTAGTGTCATGGGAAATTAAGTTTGGAAAACATTTACAAAGCCAAAAATAGTAAGGAGACTCTTATTTAGTATTAGAGGCCCAGTGCACAAAAATTCGCACACTTAGGGGGTCCCTCAGCCCAGCCTATGCCCTCTCGCAGTCCAGGACCCCTCGGGGATGTCTGCCTGCCGGCTTAGGCCTGATCCCCTGGGGGTTGGGCCTAAGCCGGCAAGCAGACATCCTTCTCATAGTCTGGAGCTCTCTCAGTCCAGGACCCCTCACTCCTTACCATCACTGTGCTTGCTAGCCATGAGCCCGGCTTCTGGCTGAGCGGTGCTCCCCCTGTGGGGGCGCACTGACCACCAGGGGGCAGCTTCTGCATTGAGCGTCTGCCCCCTGGTGGTCAGTGCACGTCATAGCGACTGGTCGTTCTGCCATTTGGTTGATTTGCATATTAGGCTTTTATTATATAGGATGCTGCAATGAACATAGGGCTGCACATATTCTTTTGCATTAGTGTTTCAGGTTTCTTCATATAAATTCCAAGAAGTGGAATCACTGGGTCATAAAGCAGTTCCATTTTTAAAAAATATTTTATTGATTTTTTACAGAGAGGAAGGGAGAGGAATAGAGAGTTAGATTTATTGATTTTTTACAGAGAGGAAGGGGGAGGGATAGAGAGTTAGAAACATCAATGGGAGAGAAATATCCATCAGCTGTCTCCTGCACACCTTGTACTGGGGATGTGCCCACAACCAAGGTACATGCCCTTGACCGGAATCAATCCTGGTACCTTTCAGTCCACAGGCCGATGCTCTATCTACTGACCCAAACCGGTTAGGGCCCATTTTTAATTTTTTGAGGAAACTCCATACTGCTTTCCACAGTGGCTGCACCAATCTATATTCCCACCAACTATACACAAGGGTTCCCTTTTCTCCACATCCTCACCAACACTTATTTTTTGATTTATTGATTATAGCCAGCCATACTGACAGGTGTAGGTGATATATCGTTGTGGTTTTAATTTGCATTTCTCTGATGATTAGTGACATTGAGCATCTTTTCATATGTCTCTTGGCCATCTATATGTCATCTTTGGAGAAGTGTGTATTCAGGTCCTTTGCCTGTTTTTTAATTGGATTGTTGTTTTTTGGGGAGTTGAGTTTTATAAATTCTTTTTTTTTACTTTATTTTTAATGTTGCCACTATTACAGATGTTTCCTCCCCCTTTGCCCACCTCCACCCAACCCCCACCCACCTTTCCCTCTGGCCATCATCACACTGAAAAAATACCCATCTTTAAGTATTCTGTACTTAAAGATGATTCTGATAAGTGAATTGTGAACATTCTAAAGGAAATGGATCTTACTCATCTGTTCAGTATTCTTTTAACAGTTTTTGTGCAAAGGAATCTTTAAGACGCCAATTTATACCTATCCTGAGATTGTAGCTGTACTATGGGAAAGTATATCTTCAACTTCTAAACTCAAGAAAATGCTGGAGCAGTTGATTAATTAAGATTTATAAAATGGCAATTTCCTAATTGTTACTCCTCCCATGATTGTTGGCCAGAATCATCTATAAAAAAAGGGGTTTTTCCTCATTAGTTAGGGTTTTTTGGTGGTTACCATTACAGTTCTGATAGGATATTATTAATTTTCTGAATAAGATTCCAACACTCTACTTAGTTACCAAAGAGATGAAGATTTTGTTTCGCTTTCTCTCTTTTATTTTTGAGAATTTTATGAACTTTTTATATATGATATATTCTATAATGTAAATTAGCTCATTCAAGATTCATAAATAAGGTGATGATGTCAGCATAACAAATAAATCACCTGATTCATAGTTATCTGGAAGTTAATGTTTCTCAACAAGTAGCAACAGCCAATGCAAAATATACTAATTCAGGCAATTACTGCAAGCAACCAAAAGATGGCGATGTCTCCCTGTATATAATCTTTCACCTTGCATTCCTCTGGTTAATTTGAACTACAGCTTGGAGGTTCCTGTGCATTTTGATCTTGCCTTCATGGCAAGCCTCAACCCTTCCTTATACCCTCTTTTATCAAACGGCTTTTCCTTTGTTACTGTTTTTGTTAAAGTTATTGCAATATTTAATAGGAATTTAATATTTTATTTGGGTTGAACTTTTATTAGGATTATTAATGTTCCTCTTAGTGTTCTAGCAAAAAGTCAAATAGGTTTTGAGTTGTCAGCTCCCAACCCTATTCTCCCCATAGGCTATTTATCGTCAGTGTGTTATTGCAGAACACTCTAGTGTTTTGTTTCTGTATTATAGAAGAAATGCCTATATTCAGTGTGTTTCTATCAGTTAAATTTATTTTTATTTTTCATACTCAAATTGTCCCACATTTGTCTAATTCATTATATTAATTCTTGTATCCTGCTGACATGACCCATTTGTTTTTTAAGTTCTACA